CCAATTATCTCAGATTCTGGAAATTTATTGAATATCTAGGTGAATTTTTTTGCACCATGGAAAATCTCACTAGGACCAAAGAAATGGTACACAGCAGCTGGAACAATTATAAAGTTGTCAAGGATTTAAATGTGACAAGTGCTTTTCAAGTTACAAAAAAATGAATAAAGTCACACTGGACACCAAATACTTTACTATTATTAGCTGTAATGAGATAATGCAAACTGTCACTAAAATGCCTATGACTGAGATTTCTGAAGCATTGAATAATGTTTGTCTTTTTTCTTTTCAGTTTAATTTACTAAAAAATCAGTGGGAAGTAGCATTTAAAATGTTTTCCTAACCTTTAAAAAATTGTAAATCACTGGTGATATATAAACTCTCTTCAAGATGTCTTGGGATTACCCTTTAAATCCCTGGCTAAGAATTCTGGGAGTTGGAGTCCAAAATTATATTGAGGGTATCAGATCTGGTAAAACTCTTACATATGTATAAATATGGGAATAGGTTTTTAACAAAGAATAGTTGTGTTACACACTTCCAAAGTGTTAGATTCCTTCTGCTGGTGAACAGAATTTTAAGCAGTGTTAAGCAACATTCTTTTCTTCACCTAATACTTTCAGGAAGTTAATATTAATAAACACATATAATAGTCAACCAAATCTTTTAATGAAATTGAATTGAATATTGTACATTGCACAGTTGTAATTGAAAAAATATTAATAGTCCGATTCTTTAATCAACTGTAAACCAGGAGTTTCAATATTGGGACTGGGAAGAATACAGTTCAAATTTTCAATGAACTATAAAACTCACTACAAGATTGATGAAGCCATGTGATACAGGCAAAGAATCAGTTGATTTAAAAAGCACACATGTACTCTAATCAATTGATTTAAAAAAGCATTATAAGGGTGAGTTGTGAGCTTAAGCAAAGTGCAGGCTTGAATAACTTTACCATTTCGGCAGAAAAGATCTTCCCTATTAAACTTCTAATTACCGAAATAGGAAGGACCTATTGGCAAGTTAACTTTATTTTCATTCTAAAGCCTTTCATTGTGCAACTAGCAGGTTAAGAAAGCCACAATCAAAGAATTCCTCCAGACAAGTATCACTGAAGAAAAAAATAATTTAGGAAAGCAAACTTTACTATAAGCCAGGCTTGTCCAACCCATGGCCCACGGGCCGCATGCGGCCCAGGTCGCCTCATAATGCGGCCCAGTGCCCACCCCAACCTTCGTGCCAGAGCCAGCGAGGAGGAGGAGAGGCAGGCATGAGGCGGGGCGAGGCGAGCGCCAGGCCAAGCAGCAACAGAAAAGGCGGGCGCCATCAGAGCGCCACCTCCTGCTGTTGCCGCCGCTTCTGCCCCCGCCGCCGCTGCCCCCGCCGCCGCTGCTGCTTCTGCCTTCCAGTCCTGCCTCATCCAGCTGGGCCATTTGCAGGAGGAGAGGTAGGTGTGAGGCGGGTGAGCTTTCTCCCCCCGCCCCCCGCAAAATTTGGCCGGAAAATAAACCGTGATAAAAAAACCGTGATAAAAAATAAATAATTTTTAATAAATAATAAATAATAAAAACATCTCACTAACTTCATTTCCAAATAAATTTAATATGTTAACTATGTTTTCTATGGGTTTTTTTTGGATGATCAGGTATCGTTACTGTTATTTTATTTTATGTGCGGCCCAAACCAAATTTTCATCTTCTAATGTGGCCCAGGGAAGGTGAAAGGTTGGACACCCCTGCTATAAGCAATAAACCACCCATCTTACCTGGGTGAATAATCCTTACTACCAACATTCAGGCACCTAACCTTCCCAAATCTCATTCATTTAATTCTCCACTGATGAAAAATATGATTATAATACATTCATATCTAGATTATAAAGGTACTGTATATAGTTTGTTTCAGTACAATATAATGATTTAGAATTCTATGCTCAAGTCAAATGTACTTTCGTATCTGTTGTTGCTGCAGAGATACAGAAGCATTTAATCCTGTTAACCAGCCATAATTCATCATTTAATATGAATCTTCAGATGAACCCTAGCCTTAATTATGGTTTAAGAAAACAAGCCAGCTTCATACACCAATTCGAAGTTGGCTTTCTTCAAAACACATAGATTTAGAGTCTTTTTCTAGTTTTGAATAAAAATAAATTGCAGTCATGAAAACATCCAATCCCCTTGAAGCTATTCTAAAAACCAATGAGCCCATCATGTAATGTTTTCCTAAACCATGGTTAAAATCTTGGCATATATAAAAGAAACCCTCGACAAGTCAAATCATTTTTCTTAATCAAGCTGAAAGGATTGTTTTTTTCTTACAAGCAATTAACTATAGCAACATGAACCAAAGATTGGAATAACTACTGAGCAAAAGTAATGACCATGTTCTTTTGAAAATTATTGCACACTTCTTTTATTACTTTTTTGACACTTGACTTTCCACCTGGCAGTAGCAGTCATATTCTGGTGTTCAGAAGCATATACTAGAACACAAGAGGGCGCATAACCAATAAGAAATCTGCAATTTTGCTATTAATCTGGTTGTGGCATCATCCTTCAACTTTCAGTTAACAATTCACATGGCACAATAAAATAAAATAAAATACTAACTTTTCTTGAATGAATACTTACAAAAAAATTGAGAATTATAAAATGCATCCTATTATGATATCTGGAGAGCATAAGAGATAAGAAAGATTTTAAACAGAAATTGCTTTAAGGCTGATGTCTTAAATACAAGACTAAAATTTTGTTTCTTACTGTATAGTGTATAGAAGCATAATACAATAGAATAAGAAAATATTCTTCCTTTTCAACAACTGAACGTACTCATCTTTGATCCATTTCATCTCTCCATTAAATCCATCTTCCAAATTAAAGTACCTCCAGAAAAGAAAAAAATGCAATATATAGGAAGGGGAAAGTTAGCAACATCTACAGAAAAAGCTAAAAGCCTTGGCTTTCGCAGGTGGTAGAATTTTCTATTAAGCCAAACGTTTAGATATTCTTAGAAATTACTAAAGCCATACATACTTATGCTGTTTGGTTTTGTTGTAGCTGGATGCTACTAAAGCTGTAGCCTTTGCATGTTTGATTGAAGACATCTTTTAAATACTAAAATATATTAACAAGATCATCTCTCAGTTGTGCTTTTTCCTGATTAGTATTATCAAATATTTCATTGAACTTGTGATCTGCTTCACTAGGAAAGAAAATTAATCTGCAGGAGAGTTAGTACTATGTTGAAAAGCTGAAATTATTATTAGTTTTTACATTCCTAATTTATTTAACTTTCAATTTTGATGCATACAGTTACTCTGTTTTAAAGTACATTTTGTGAAGAAATGGTTGACACATTTTCAAAAATATTTGGTTAAAAGAACTTGCACAATAAGTGGAATTTCACAGTAGAAAAATATTTTAATCTGAACTCTTCAGACAGTCCATTCTTTAAATTACAACTACTTAACTATGGTAGATAAGTGAGTTGGTGGTATTAATAACTATAATTTGACAAATGATATTTGCAAAGGAAATACTAGCTGAGTGTAAAACATACAAGGTTTTCTGATCCAAAAATTACATGCAGCCTTTGTTTTTCAACAAAGAGATTAGATTTTCTCCATCCAAGTTTCTTAAAAAAGCACAAGGCTTAGCAAAATGTTCTCTACTTTAATAGCAATTTCAGACACATTTATGTAACTTCTGGTTAGATTTTTTCCTGCTATTACTATTAAGATACAGTTTCAGATACTTATTAAAAATGTTTACATTATTGAAAACTGGCTAAAGTAATAGTAATTTTTTGACAACTCAAACTTAATTTTAAGAGTATGTTTTTGCATTTAAACAAACCAAATATTAATATTCAATGTGTATAAATTAAGTGTTTATTTTAATAACTAACATGCAATATTTGTTATTAAGAACAAAATATTTCAAAGAAATGAAGGGCCTAAATGAAGGGCTTAGGCAGTACAAAGCTATGCAGCACCACAATTAACAGTGACCTTTTTCTACTGCACTAATTCCTGACTGCTTGCATTTCAGAACTTTCTGCAGGCATTCCTGGATTAGGATTTGCATTCCTTTTAAAAATGGACTTGGTGGTTAAATGCCATGGGACAAATTGATTGAATGCACTGGCATAAAACAATATATTCTGGTAAACAGAAGGCAGAGTTGTATACCCTAAAATTGTTTTCAATTAAATTTTCCTTTTAATATCTCTGATTTTATACCAGCACTCTGAATATTGAGTCTGTCATTTATAAACATAACAGTCTTCTGGTTAGCACCTTACTCTAGAATATTATGAAAGGCAAGAAAGAGAGGATAAGATCTCAGGGGGTAGCATGTATAACATTCTTGTTTTTCAAAAGTCTAAAACAGCTTTTTGAACACAAGCTCAAGGTGTTCAGTTCAATAAACTTTATCCCACTCTCAAACCTTTATCTAATTAGGATACTTTGGGTGAGACATCAGAACAACCATGTCTTGCAAAACAATCAAATGCAGAAATTTGTTCTTTCTCAAACTTATAATGAACATTTCAGGAACTATCAGTAAAGCCCTTTCTGATATGAAGGGGAAAAATATTAATGTCCTTTATGGTACACATGTTTCGTGACTTTTACTAGGTGTACTCTTGCTCTTATTAAACTGTAAGCAAAATTGAAAATGTTAAATAACAATTTCAAGATTCTCCCCGCTCCTTTTTTTCTTCTTATTACTGAAAGGAAAAACAGCTTTTTGTAGCCACAGATGTTACATATTTTCCAGTAAATTAAGCAATCCTCTTTCATTATTAAAACAACAGCTTGCTACTTGCCGCTGGAAAAGATCCATCAACTGAACAGTACCTCAAAAAGTAGCAGCAATTGAGGACGGTGGCTTGGGAACTCTTGGCATTAATTGAAGGATTTGAGAGAGAGAGAGAGAGAGACGGAGAGAGAGAGAGAGAGAGAGAGACGGGGAGAGAGAGAGATTTCTTACCTTGAGCATGCAAGATCCAGAGAGAAGAGATCAGTAGAAAAGGAAGAAAGTGCTCTGATCAGCTGCCGGTAGCATGCCGTTGACTTTTATGGTCAGGAGGGAGGAGCTGCTGTTCATTGTGGGTGAGTAGATGGACAGTAGCAGCCACTGGGACAAGCAGATGCTGCTGACTTTCAGGACATAGCAATAGAAAATGCATGAATGCAAGGGAATAACAAGACTCTGCTTTGGTTCAGATTCTCCAGGGTATTATGAGAATTGGTTTCAGTTCTTGTTTTGAAATGAGGACAGTGTCAATGATACCAAGTCTCCATCCTTTGGGTTTAAGGGCACTTATCAAATATTTAAGGATGCTCAAAGCAGGTTGTTTTTATCAGCAGACCTTCATTACAGCCTCTGATTTACCAGACACAATACTTGCTGTGTTTGCATGTAACATTAAATTATAATGGCTTAGTATAAAACCTTGGCTTAGTATAAAGTATAGTCCCTGGCAACTGTGATTTGTGAACCATGATTCACGGCTCAGATGTTTGAGAACTAAGCCACTATGGCCAATTCAATGAAATGCAACCAAAAAAAGCTAAAATGGTAAAAGGACTCAAACATATTCCCTGCCAGATAAGTTAGAATATTTTCCAAAAGTTTGGAAAAAAGATTACTGAGAATGTAATAGAATTATGCCTGGCATAGAAAAATTAGGGAGATTTCGCTTTCTCAAATTACTTGTTCCAAGGCTGTTGAATGAAGCTAACTGGGAGGAGATTTAAAGCTGAGACACACACACACACAAATCCTTCACACAGAATTAACCTGTGTGAACCTTCACAGAGAACAATGTGGCTCATTGCGACAAGGTTCATTACCCTGTTACCATCATTTTGCATTGCTTTTTAAAAGGAAGTAGTTAAATTCTTAAAGGACATGTCTTATAGGGCTATCAAAAATGAAATGTTATCCTGAGTTGAGCAGGTTTTTAGATAACAATTTCAGAGGAACATTGTTTTCAGAAGGATATGTGTTGTGGTTTTTTTGCCTACATGTGAATTTCCAAGAGACTGGCTGAATTATAATCACAATTTATTTAACATGAAAACTGATTAATCATAAACCAAAGTAACAGTTTTCAAAGTGTGCCTTGTGGCATACAGAAGGAGAATAGGATGGAATTACATTCGAGCTTTGCAGGAAGAGAGAGAGAACACAAAAATTAAATTAATTCTATTAATTTTAAACTATAGCTAAGCATTTCCAGACTATCTGGAAACTTGCAATTTTCCTTACCATATTACCTTTATTACCTTTATTATATTTGAAATGTGGAGTAACTTCTAAGTAACTTTGCTGCCATCTCAGGTGCACAGCAAAGGTGTCCAGGAGTTTCCTATGACAGATCCTTCTCTACTGCAGACACTTAAGTTTAACATTTTCCATCCTTAACATCTCTAATGAAAGGATTTATCACAACTGGTCTAGATATGTTTGTTTTTGTTTGAGTCCTTGAAGAGTTCCTAAATGACTAAACTAAATACTTCACTTTTCTACTCCAGGGGGTATCAAAGTCAAGGCCAGCGGGGCAGATCTGGCTCACGGGGTGCTTGGTTCTGGCCCATGGGGCCAACCTGAAGAATTGGCCCATGATGCCTTTGCCAGTGAAAACAGATCTCAGGAGAGCCGCAGGCAGCCTTCCCAAGCTCTGTTTTCGCTGGCAGCAGGTTGCAGGAGGCTGTTGCAGCCGAAAATGGAGCTTGGGAGCCTGTTTTCACCAGCAGAACACTTGGGCCACCCCAGGTACTCCTGACATAAGTGATGTTGATCTGGCCATGCCCACCCTGGCCATGCCCACCCCGGCCCCCGAAGGTCAAACACAACCCTGATGTAGCCTTCAATGAAATTGAGTTTGACATCCCTGGTCTACTCCATTCTTGGTTACTTTTCATAATATCCACAAATTGGATAACACAAACTTTTTAGACTAATGAAAGCCTTTGGACTGTGAGCTCGGGGCACTCTTACAAAATGTCAGCCTAGCAGGTTGCCCATTCATAACATGACTGCCATGTAGGAAATACCAGTTCCAAACTAGCAATTTATCATAATCCTTTCTGCCACCAGTTCTAACCCTGCTATAGTTAAGACTTCTACTGTGTCTATCCTTTTCACAGCCTCAGCCACTCATTACTTTTGTGTTCAAAGAAAGTGTATTAGAAAAATACTAACCTAGCAGGCTGATCAAAATTTTGGTGGGAAAACCAAAAAGAAAAGGAAAAAAAGGAAAAGGTATTTTTATTGTGAAGGATGGTTCTGAGTGTTTTGTTCTTTATTTTATTATAGATGCTTATTAAAATTAGAAATGAAATGTGTATTTATGGGTGTGTCCCAAGGATGCTTTTTCAAAAGGCAACTGAACTTTGTTTTTCCTTGAAAACATTTCACAACTCACCCAAGAAGCTTCTTCAGTTTCTTGAATGAGAAGCAAAATATCTTCAAGAAAAAAAAAAGTCCAGTTGCCTTTTGTAAAAGCACCTTTGGGACAACCATGACCTGGATGTCTCAAAATCTCCACAGACATTTAAGGGAGAGGTTTAATCCTTCTCTTTCCTGCTGTGGCCAGAAACAATTAAGCCACCCCTAAATTGTTATTGTACTTCTGATAAAAATTGACTCTACATCTCTAACTGTAGAGATGCCATAGTAAAGCACAACTGGTTCACATTTTTCTCATGCTGAAATTTTGTCCTAGTAGTTTAGTTCCATAACTTGACTGGATAACTTACTTCAGTTGGGTTTTATACAGACGTTGGTGGCCCATCTTATGCTATGTAGGCAGGCAATGTGATTTATTCAACTGTTGTAAAATACTTCTATTTATAGTAATGCATACAAGCCCACACCCATTAATCTGATTAAAAGCCTCACCTTCACCAAAAAACAGTTTTTACTAATTGCACATGATGATGATGATTAATGAAAGCTTGCCTACAACGCTTTGCCATTATTGGATATGTTCAACATTCTTTATTGCCTAGTATCTTCTTCATCTTGCTTGCAAAGCTACATGTTATTCTTACAATATCCCAAAAAAGTTTTAAATTGAAATTAATTTTTAAAATTTATTTTGCTTCAATGCCATTACAGACTCCAGCAATTTCAGATGCATAAAATTAGAGCTACTTTTACCAACTTTTCTTCTAATGTGATATATGTCCTCATTTTCTATCAATGTCTTGTCTGGATTTTACATAGGAAAAATGGAACTAAATTTCCATAAAATAATTAGTTGACACAAGTCCAGTGGACTAAACATAGGACTCCCCCCCCCCCCAAAAAAAAAGGACCAAGTATACTATTAGAGCATTTCAGCCTCCCAAGATATTCTATGGCATACCTCAGAGTGACTGTTTTGGAACAATGGAATTTTAACACCATCACTGAGTGATAAATTGGTGAATTCACATACATGCAAAAGTTTCAGGCAATTTCAAAAAGTCTCAACAAACACATTTGTTAATTTAGAAGATTTTTGTAAAAGGCTCAATTTAATGTAACCTGTGCATCCAGTGTATCCAACCTGCTTTCCCTCTCTCTTCCCCATCCCAAGTTAAATACTACATCCCAAATTACATACTACTTTATACATCTGATCAATTGAGCTGCAGCTGATACAAATTTATATTTATATAACCATTTTATAAAGTTTGTTCATGTGAAACATTGCTACTAGACTTCTCCTGATTCCTAGTTACAATTAAATTGAGGTTGCATTTATTGTATTGGAGAAATGTTGTATTTACTATGTTTACTATATTTTGCTTTTGCTTGTTTCTTTCTTCATGCTTTACTTTGCATTCCTAGCTGTAATTAAAAACAAAGCAAAACAATTTGGCCATATATTTTTCATATATCAAAATATATTCCTCTGGTGCCAGACTGTATTTTTATTACTTATTTATATTAATGAAAGTTTAAGGAGAAATTAAGCTGAATGACCTCCTTCATGGTGGAAGAGTTAACAATAGTTGTGCTCTTCTAAATGAAAAAAAAATAATTCACATGTTTGGTCAAAAGTGAGGTAAGTTGAGAAATGAGTTTGAGTTGGGGTTCAAAAGATGGTCATGATTGTATGAAGTACAAAGAACCTATGCTAAGAAAGCAGAAAAGTAAGAAATACATTTTAAAAATTAATTTCAATTTAAAACTTTTTTTGGATATTGTAAGAATAACAAGCAAGCAAGCAAGATAAAGAAGACACTAGGCAACAAAGAATGTTGAACATATCCATGAGGCAAAAAATATCTGGGGCAATGTGGTAACATAAAAGAGGAAAAAAAAATAACATAGTGTTCCAATAATCCCCTAACAAAATTGGCTTCAGAGGCTTTCTGGATTTCAGCTCAGCAGTCATAATTTGAAAATGGGAAAACATGTGCCTAAAATATTTTAAGGGAGTACATTGATTTTTGTTTATGTATTTTGAGAATAGTGCAAGTTAAAGGCATTTACATTATGAGTCTTAGCAAAATGTGCTATCTTCTGGCACTAGCCCTGCTGCTCAGTAAGATCATAAATGGGGTTGGGGATGACAGTAATAAAGAAGGCTATCTCGACTTCAAGTAGTAAGTTGTAACTTGTGAATTCATGAAGAAAAGGACAAATAGATGGCTACAACACAAAATACGGTACTGTTTTCAGATTATTATTTATTTCACAGTGTAATAAAGGAAAATTGCCTTTTAGACTTTTAGTTTCAAAGAAGGGACAGGCGTACTTCTACTTTGGAATCTACTTTGCCCAACTAAAGTGAATTTCAAAAAAAAAGGTATGAACTTGCAAAAGAGGTAGAAAACCCTCCTATTTATTTATCATTTAAAGTATATAATATTTCTGATCACCTTCATTTCAGTGTCACATGCATGATAAAAACGTAATATAATTGAATGGAGCGGGCAAGTAACTAAATGTAGGCATAAAATATTTAAGTTAATAGCAATAGTGAGTAGTGCAATCTACAAAATAAACCTGGACTCCCATCAATTAAAAAAAACCCTGA